AATCCCTGACGTTCTGGGATTCTGTGAAACTGCAATTTGTGTGAAGAGACCCACAAGTCTGCATCCAGTACACAGAGTTTTGCTCCTTCACAGCTGAGTGCTTGTCTAGATGTAGCAATAGAGTTAAAACAAGGAATCATGCAATGGAGAAGTAAGAGAACATCTGCGTAGGACTTCAGACAAGGCTACATTTATGCCTGGATTTTCATGCATCATGTGCAGGTCTTCAGAAATTACAACATTTCCCTGCAGCACTTTGTCATTTAGCATATTAATGACAAAAATAATTGTCGGCCCTGGATTCGAAGCCATTTTCTGATATAATTCAAGGTGTTTATCCCTAGAAATCAAATTCAAATCCCGTTGAATAATTTAAAAATTGTTCTGACTTACTTAATAAAAAGAAACCCTATTTTTAATAGCACACAGTCACTTGGATAAGTTTTCAGTAGGTACTACAGTACTATAGCCGAGATCTATCCCAACACCTATCCCTATCTGATCCCAATGTCTATTAACCATCCGCCTTACTTCACTAAGATACTTTCAATTTAAATTAAAAATGTTTTTCCATGCTATGATTGTGCAGTTGATTGCATTTCCTTACCTTTGGTTTCCCGAATTACAATTGCATTTAACAGCCCTTTCCCTCTTACAGCAGTCACGATATCAGATGGTGTCTTCATGAGCTCATTTCTCAGTATGTTACCCATTATTTCTGCATTTTTAGCCAAGTCTTCCTCTTCAATTACCTAAAGGGAAGTCAGATCGACAGTCATCCAGAGGCACTTCATTTGTTTTATGCTCCATACTGGAATGGATGACTAATGTCATTACAATTGCTGAGATAAAAAAGCTGCATCCAAAGTGTTACTGCAAAGGCTGCACATCCAAGCAGATCAGTATTAAACCTTTATTCATTCATGTTTACAAGAAACAATAATCTCCTGAAATTCGATTCTAAATTAACTGCTTTATTTTGCTGTTTTTTACAAGCAAACAGTAAACATCTGAAGACTCAAATCTGTCCAGGCCCACTTATTGGGTCATGAAGAGGCTTTTGGGCGACTTGTATTAAACGTGGTCAGTTATGCAGTCACAGGATAACTCAAATATGGGCTCTGGACAAGACATTTTACTATCTGCTGTTTGAGCTCCAGTGGCACATAGGTGTTATCAAGCTCACAGAACAGCAATCTCTGCAACATGGTACAGAAAAATAAGCCAATTGGAAAATGCCTTCATGAAATCAGTGGAAGTATTTTGCCAAATTTATGTAAGTGCCCTGAAACTTTCCCTAGATAAGTTTTATTTTGTCATTTAAGACATTAAGACCAAAAAATACACAGAAATTAGGGCACATCTGCAGTAAAGACAGTTTGTTTTGTGATCTCTGCAAACAATTAACCACTACCAACTTTCCATTCTTACTTAAAGCTAGTTTTCTACTTGTAGCACAACAAATTATATCATTTGTTTAACCAAAGATCATGCCAGTGCAACACCCTTTTTTTCTTTGGAATTCAAATCTCTGTTACAACACACAAACCTCCAGTGCTGCCATTGCAACACGGCAAGCTAATGGATTTCCTCCGAATGTGGATCCATGTTCACCAGGCTTAATGGTCAGCATAACTTCATCATCACACAGCACTGCTGAGACCTGAAATGGAAAGGTCAACCCATTTATTTACATGTATATAATTTAGAACACTAAACTTAAATGTCTCTGAAGCAAACTTTTCCTTGGGACTCAGGAAAGGATCATTTTCAACCTATGATGATAAATTACATTTAAATTCCCAGCTCTGTATAGAGAAGAGCGTATCTGAAAATCACATACCAGCTTCATCTCCCTAAATACCCTTAGCTATACTGGTAACATATAACATCTAACTGCAGTTGAGGGGCATTTCTCCAAACTGAATATTATTTCAAGAGTTTAAGCTTCGATACTCTGCTTAACAACTCAGAAATAACTTCAATCAGCCAAAAGAGTTCAAGGCAGATTGTAACTTCCAGCTTAATC